AACGTCTTAAAATTGTTTGATTTTGGACAGCTTTATGTCTCCCCTAGTCACATCTACCCACTCCTAAACAGACTAGAAATTCGAAGGAGGAATTTGAACAGCTTGGAATTTGGAGGTGTGGCAATGAAATAACCAGAAGTCAACTAATGTAGCCATCTTGTAAAACAGTCGACTGAAGCATGGTTATTTAATATTTCTTCTCTATTCTAAGCATATCTTTCGATCCAATTCCCGTTTTCTAAAATTGAACTTGACCTTTAGTTTCTTACAATTTGGAACTTTACCCATCCTGAAATTTGCATTGCGTGCAGAGGTGATCGTACTCTAATATCCTTCTATATCTATCGTGTGTTACAATAATCAAGCTTTTTCTAAAGAATTAACTTACGAATCGACCTAGTAGCCATTCCCTCTACCTTACCAACCAAAGTTTTCGGATCAAATTAAGATTTGCAAGACGCAATTCTTACACATCATATTCTAGATAAAATTTTGAATTTTAAGTAAGAAATTCATCTGATTCTAATACACCTTCCAATAGGTCTTTTCTACAATGAAAATAAATATTCAATCACTTTTGCAGAATTCCTAATAGTATTCTAAATATTTTTTTGCAGAAGGAGTTATTTATCTCAGTAATTACTGAAAGTCATGACACATTGAACTCAGAGATACAAGTAAGACATTTTGTCTTACTCTTGTCTATTGGGCAAGTGAGATGTGTTGCAACAGCATGCCGAAATGTCAATTTGGCATGACAGAAGGCAATCGGGTTGCATACAATTTTAAGGTGGTTCTTAGAATTGCGTTCTTCTGATGTAATGCATTCCTTAAATTTGAGTTAATTAGAAGTTAACTCCGCGGTATGATTAAAACAAATTATTTACTCAATTGAGCGTTAGGTGCTTTTAAACTGCATAAGTAACTGGTGGAAAAGATAAAATACGAGAATATAGAAATTTATGGATTCGATTTGAAAGCAGTTAAATCAACTATGAGTATGTCATTTGAGAGTAGAAAGGGATTAAGAGACAACAAATTTGCTAATTAATTGAGGCCTTAATTTTAAGATTTTCACCTCTACAAGATAGGAATGAGGCGAGGAGGGTGAGGTGGAAGAAAATGCATGTTTCACGAAAGGGTAGAGAGAGAAAGAGAAAAGAGTGAAAAACGACCACCATGTGACCACTAGGCCGTACTTGATAAAGTATCTATTTGGTGATGCTAAATCTCAAGGCGAAAATCAATAAAAAAATCTTGGCATCCAACCATAAGTCAAGGGTATAAAAAAGTGGAAATGAGAGGGGATCGAGTGGGGTGAGGAATTAACTTCAAATCACGGCACAATCGTTGTTAAGCCCCAAGGTCAAAACACACACACATATATATTTCTTTGTTAGTAAAAGTAGCTGGGTTTTCACTTTATTCTAATATTTTTGATAAAAAAATTCGGAAACTGGCTCTTGAACTAATTCCATATATCCCGTTAAATTTATCCTATCTTTAGCCAAAGAATAAACGGAAGAGGTTTGTGAACCATCTGATCCCTACTTAGGAAAGAAGACTTCTTTCGTGAAAATCAATGCAAATTACCAACCAGCAGTTTTGAACTTAAACCACGCTAGGCAGAAACTTCATTGCTTAATGAAGGTCGTGAGTACGAGGAGATATCAAGCAAACATACAGCTCTAAGGGAATACTCACTTTCAAGTACCGAAATCTTATCATTTTACTTTACATGTTATTAAATGAACAGCGTTAAAGGATGAATCGATGTATCTACTATTTCTCAAAAATATAAAGTTATAAGCTTTATGTAAATTGAATCGATTGAGACCAATTCAGGCTTTAACTTGCCTTGATTGATCGCTTCCAATTGCTGGTACGTCTAAAATATTAAATTGTTCGCTTATAGGAAATAAAGTATTTTAAATAATTTATTAATTTATTTAATAAAGAAATATTTTAGGTATTTATAACTTATAGAAGGATTTTAACGGTAGATTATTGGTTTACTGTAAATGATAACTAGGATTAATGATAAAATTCGTATTAGAAAGTAATTATAAAGTAAATACAGAATAAGAAATGTCGTATTACCTCCAGATACAACCGTCAAAGTAGCAGAGATATTTCCTTGAACAAACCGAGTTTTTACAGTTCCAGTAATTGTATACTTTGTAGATGCCTTATCCAATACGATCACTCTATATGGCAGATCATCATATCGATAGTTCCTCTCATGTTTAATTTCAGATCCATTAGGCCCAGTTGCAAAAGCCTCAAATTTCTCCAGCTTATTCTCTGAACAATACTCCTCAACTTTCCAAGTGGCTATGACCTTCCGACCAGAAGCTCTATCGAGGGAAATGGTAAAATGACGAGGGTCGGGCCAGGTTATAGGGGCTTGAGAGAAAACCACATTTGCGATTGCGACAAGATTTACCAAGACGATATACTGCCACATGGTCGGGATGATGGCAAATGACAAGTTGAAACCAGTGCCTTCTCCAAGATATAGATTTGATTAGCCTATCATTAAACACTGAAATGCCATGCTTGAATGAGCAGACCACACAAAATGAAAATATTTGCAATTCCATTTAAGGGAATTAATATGACCAATCAACAATTGAGCAGTTTGTTTTTCTCAGTATACAAATGTAATTAAGCACAAGCGACAGTGATTAGCCCGGGTTATTCGAATGTTCTTCATTTTACTAATGTCCCGCTAATCAGCTCACATACTTCAGTAATTTGTGATGCAGCAGCTAATTTTCTTCTTCTGCTCAAATAGAGGTCAGAGTTCGATAGCAATTTTCGATCGCTTAGTAAACGGAATATTCAATAGCACTAATTAAGTCTGTTTGATAAAGGGGATGGTTAAATGCGAATATCAAATCAAAGAACGAAATAATTTATATAAAATGGCAGGCGTCTTTTCATTATCATTGGCCCTTTAGTTGACTTTAGGTTTCATAGAGGGGGGGGGGTACAAAAGAATGTTTCAAAGATGTAAAAGAGGCAGACATAAAGGTAGAAAAAGGTAAGATGAATACTGTGTAAATGGCCGAATATGACATGCAGTGGGGTCATGGTAGTTTGAAGTCAGAAGTCAACTGCCTGTTTATAGACTTTTTTGCCGTATGAGCATACGTTTCCCAGGGTGCACCGCGTGGAGGTAAGTCTATCGTCCGCCCCATATTAGGTAATCATCAATTAAAGGAAATCTTCGCTCTTTAAACGTTAATCCACAGACATTGTAGGTTTGGCTCAGCCCAATAGGAATAGTAGTTATTGTGATAAGGCAGAAATTTTGGCTCAAAAAAAGATTAATTCCCTTATCCCAACCTTCTCATCCCATCAACAAAGCCATGAATCCCGTACCCAAGCAGTTTCCAAAATATGAAATTTGGCAAAACTTACAAAATGCCTTATTTGTACTCGTATTTGCCCTTATAGGCATATACTAAAATTTTGCATTATTTAGCATCAATTCAACTTCAGGTAGCAGTAAACTCAAAAAGATTGCCTAATGAGACGTTAATGCAAGTCTAGGTGGCAGTAGAATAAGGTGACCTGGTTTGAAAAATACAGATGACTAGACTTGTCTGGAAGATTATTGAGGGAAAAGTTTCACACATGTTATGAGATATCAGAAATTGCGCGTTTTATCAATGCCAAAGTGAAAGAGCTAGTTAATTCTAGAAAAGAGTTCTAGAGTTAAAGGTAAGTGAACATAATGGGCTATCCGGAGTATGGGAGGAGGTATCGGGAAATACATACCTTCCAAAAAGTTCTGACACACGTGAGTTCAATTTTGTCATCCTTGGCAGCGTTGTGCACTCCACATAACTTTGAACTCCACTGATATCACAACCTGAATGAATATATTTATTGTATAGTATTTTGAATTTAGGGGTAGATCATTAATGATTAGTTAATTTATAATTATGCAACGAGTTAAATTAATGAACAGTAGCGAAATTTATGGTATTGTGTCTAAAATCAAATTATCGTTTCATTTCTGAAGGAGATAGTACTGAAGACAACCTTTCGACTTTAGTAAGAAATAATATTTTTTCAAATTCTATGGAGATTAGCCCATTTTTTCCAGTAATTAAATTTAGTGACAACTGAGATTTTGAGAGATAAATTAAATTTTACATTACCGTGATTTTTCAGTAACTAAGATGTCACCTATCGATATTTAAATACAATACTAGCAAAAATCTTTACTTTTTTAGTTATTGCTTTTCAAATGCAACTATAAGGGAAAAATTCTAACATAACCTTTCATTTATTGACACATATTACCAATAAAACAATACGATGCATTTGTTTCAAAGTCTTAATACTGAGAAAATAATGCTATTTTTTTCAATTTTATCCATTTTTAAATAAATCTTTTAAAGATGAATTTTCAATTTTGTAGGATATTCTGTCATTTCTATCCTATTACAATGTTTTGACCTTCATCGAAGCTTATCTATTTATAGAGGTGTGAAGTGCACAATACTGAACGAAGAAATCTCATGCCCACTCCGTCTTCAAGGTGCGCAAGGTACTTGACATGTAGGGAATAAATATGATTTTGAGCACGTAGACCTCTCAGTCAGCTACCAATCAATAGTCGCTGCATTGTTTTAGAAACATTTAGTTTTATTTTAATGGCTAAGCTGTGTCAAGACGCACAATCACAATTAACGTTATTCTCACCATATGGTCTCTTTCCTCGATATTGTTGAGGTAGCTTAGCTAAGTTCAGGGTCCATTCCACACCATGGCCTTTTGATGGGGTTTGGTTAAAGCTTACTCGTGTAGGAATCCGCTACAGTGGAAACTACACTAGTAGGACGACAGCAAAAACCAAGAACTTCTCTCAAAAGCTCTATTATTTAATTATCTAGTTGCAGTTATCTGCTTTTATCATAATCTTATGTACAAATATGAGCTATTTCAAAATGTTTAGAAGGCATTTTATTTCGTATTAGAATGATAAAATTAAATGTCGTGGTTTTTTTAATTAATGCTTTATGGTATTGCCTTAAGAAGCTAGATTGAAAAGAACAAGACCTATTACTGATAGAATAGACTCAGTTCTTATGTCCTTTTTCTCATTTTGTTGCTCCAGGTATATTTTCTATTGACCTTTCGACGTAATCAAAATACGCTTATGAAATTTAAGGACAAACTTGATGGCTTGGCTAGACAGTTATTGATAGAGATTGACAGGCTAGTTGTTCACGTCACCATATGAGTTGTACGTACATAGGGCTTGGGAAAGTTCCACCTGTACCGCAGAGAGGGAAACAGTTGGAGGGCAATAGAGGGCTTTGGGCAGAACTGGCAACCCAACGTTTCAGAATTAATTCCGACCACTTAAACAAATTAATATCCTTTATCTGACTTAAGATGCTTGATAGTTTATAGCCGCTAACTACTTCTTTTTGTCTCCTCTGGGGACGAGTACTGGTAATTCTAGACAAAACTTGTCGTGGAAGACCTATTTTGAGATGATGAAAGTATTTTTTCATACTGTGTATTTGATATCTAGAAATGAAAGGTAATTTCTAGAAAAAATAAATCTTTTATTAAATTTTTAAATATATTTGGCTTCTCTTATGCTTCTTTAATCCGAACCAATTTCTTTTCGTTCCTCACGTAAGAGGCACACAGCTCAAACAACCAAATATTGAGAAATAGGGGTGTGGGATAAACTTACCTCGACTTGATGCACCCTGGGCAACGTATACTCATACGGCAAAAAAGTCTATTAACCGGCAGTTGACTTCTGACTTCAAACTACCATGGACCGACTGATTGTCATATTCGACCCCTTCCACAATACTCATCTTACCTTTTTCTCTACCTTTGTGTCTATCTGCCTCTATTACATCTGTGAATCGCTCTTCTGTTCCCCACCCCTCGACCTTCTGCTACTTTGATTAATCTTCCCTCTGTGAAGCCCGAAGTCAGCTAAATGGCAAATTATAGCTGTCAAAACGCCTACCATTTAAAATGAGATAAATATTGTGAAATACGGACATATCTTGATATTTGAGTTGGCACGAACATACTTTTTTGCAGTGTTATTGCCTGGGAATTAAATTGTTGCCCGCCTACAAATTGGATGAGCTTATAGCATAGCTTTTATCGCATGCAAT